TGGCAGCACCTGCTCTCCCGGAGACTTCATCATATCACAGGCCCATTCACTATTACACTGGGGTGAGGAATGCTGGAAAATGATGTACTACACAGAGGTACAATAACAGGCACAATTCTGGGACACCACATAGTGCCCCACTCCAATCAATAGCAATAGCATTAGACCAGCCCTCTGGGATCATCAGGATTAACTGTTCTGAGACCATCTTTCACCTAGAACTCATTCCTCCAAGTTCCAAACTAAATCCTCAGGTCTGAGACTCTTAAATGACAGCTCAAGAAATCGAAATGGAGCATCAATTTAGAATTATATATATAAACTGGGCAGGGTAAAAATAAATGACTGTTATCAAACCTGGATAAATACAAAGATCTGAAATCTGTCTTCCTAAGGAGCAAAGAATAATTTATACAACCTAGTACTACTGCTATTCAGTCTCCTTAGGTTAGTAGATGACACTTTTTATTTTATTATTGTGAAACAGATATCATGAAAGATGGATATGGTGGTACATGCCTATAATCCCAGCACTCGGGAGCCTGAGGCAGGAGGATCTTGTGTTCAAGGCCAACCTGGGTACATGGCAAGTTTTAGGACAGCTTGGGCTCATAGCAAGATCCTGCCTCAAATCATCAATCAATCAATAAGTATGTAAGTAAATAAATAAATAGACCCCCATCTCCAAATCAAACAGAGCAAAATGGACTGGAGATATGGTAGTAGAGTACCTGCTTTGCAAGTGTGAAGCCTTGATGAGTTCAAACCCCAGTTCTACACCAAAAAAAAAAAAGAAAAAAGAAAAAAAAAAAAACCCACCAGATTACCATTCCCCTAAATTCTGGATTTATTACTTACTTTCATTCATTTTTAAAATTTTGTTTTGCTTTGGTTGAAACAGGATCTCACGATGTTCCTCAGGCTGACTCCAAACTCTTGTGCTCAAGTAATCCTCCTACCTCAGCCTCCCGAGTACCTGAGACTCTAAGTGCACATCTACCAAGCTGAGGTTACTCTTTCACCCATGTTTACTGTGGGACAGATTTCTGATGCCGGAGCGTATAACAAGTTACAATATTACTGCTCTTGAGTCTTGAAGGTTCAATTCACCACCTCCTAGCTATAGTCTTTGATAAACTCATCAGCATTTTCTCAGGAATGGAGGAGAAGGCACAACAGATAGTCTCCAGATGCAAAGACACTGTCACGAAGTGCTCTTGATATGTAAGGCCCTCAGGGTAACAAACCACTTCTCAGTTAATTCCTACAGTAACCCTGTGAAGCTAGTGATATCCCCCTTTTTTAATCCCTTTTTTTTTTTTGGCAGTACTATGGTTTGAACTCGGGGCCTCACACTTGCTCAGCAGGCACTCTACCACTTGAGCCACTCCACCAGCAATATCCCTGTTTCATAACTCAAAAAACTGAGACTCTGAGAGGTTTAGTGACTTCTCTGGTATCAAAAGTAAATGACAGGCCAAGATTTGATCTACATATTCTGATTCCAAAGCCTTAAACTCTTAACCAGTTGACTATGTATACACAGGGACCTTTACATGTACAGAAGATTCTGCCTTGGGTCATACCTTCAAAAGTGTTGGTTGCTCAGCATGGTACTGGCACAAAAACAGACATGAAGACCAGTGGAACAGAATAGAGGATCCAGATATGAAGCCACACAACTATAAGCAACTTATCTTTGACAAAGGAGCTAAAAATATACGATGGAGAAATAGCAGCCTCTTCAACAAAAACTGCTGGGAAAACTGGTTAGCAGTCTGCAAAAAACTGAAACTAGATCCATGTATATCACCCTATACCAAGATTAACTCAAAATGGATCAAGGATCTTAATATCAGACCCCAAACTCTTAAGTGGATACAAGAAAGAGTAGGAAATACTCTGGAGTTAGTAGGTATAGGTAAGAACTTTCTCAATGAAACCCCAGCAGCACAGCAACTAAGAGATAGCATAGATAAATGGGACCTCATAAAGCTAAAAAGCTTCTGTTCATCAAAAGAAATGGTCTCTAAACTGAAGAGAACACCCACAGAGTGGGAGAAAATATTTGCCAATTATACATCAGACAAAGGACTGATAACCAGAATATACAGGGAACTTAAAAAACTAAATTCTCCCAAAACTAATGAACCAATAAAGAAATGGGCATGTGAACTAAACAGAACTTTCTCAAAAGAAGAAATTCAAATGGCCAGAAAACACATGAAAAAATGCTCACCATCTCTAGCAATAAAGGAAATGCAAATTAAAACCACACTAAGATTCCACCTCACCCCTGTTAGAATAGCCATCATCAGCAACACCACCAACAACAGGTGTTGGCGAGGATGCGGGGAAAAAGGAACCCTCTTACACTGTTGGTGGGAATGTAGACTAGTACAACCACTCTGGAAAAAAATTTGGAGGCTACTTAAAAAGCTGGACATCGATCTACCATTTGATCCAGCAATACCACTCTTGGGGATATACCCAAAAGACTGTTACTCCAGAGGCACCTGCACATCCATGTTTATTGCGGCACTATTCACAATAGCCAAGTTATGGAAACAGCCAAGATGCCCCAGCACTGACGAATGGATTAAGAAAATGTGGTATCTATACACAATGGAATTTTATGCAGCCATGAAGAAGAACGAAATGTTATCATTTGCTGGTAAATGGATGGAATTGGAGAACATCATTCTGAGTGAGGTTAGCCTGGCTCAAAAGACCAAAAATCGTATGTTCTCCCTCATATGTGGACATTAGATCAAGGGCAAACACAACAAGGGGATTGGACTTTGATCACATGATAAAAGCTTTAGCACACAAGGGAGGGGTGAGGATAGGTAAGACACCTAAAAAACTAGCTAGCATTTGTTGCCCTTAATGCAGAGAAACTAAAGCAGATACCTTAAAGCAACTGAGGCCAATAGGAAAAGGGGACCAGGAACTAGAGAAAAGGTTAGATTAAAAAGAATTAACCTAGAAGGTAACACCCACGCACAGGTAATCAATGTGAGTCAATGCCCTGTATAGCTATCCTTATCTCAACCAGCAAAACCCCTTGTTCCTTCCTATTATTGCTTATACTCTCTCTACAACAAAATTAGAGATAAGGGCAAAATAGTTTCTGCTGGGTATTGAGGGGGGGAGCGGGAGGGGGTGGAGTGGGTGGTAAGGGAGGGGGTGGGGGCAGGGGGGAGAAATGAACCAAGCCTTGTATGCACATATGAATAATAAAAGAAAAATGAAAAAAAAAAAAAAAAGTGTTGGTTGCTGAATGACAGCAGGCTCCACATGCATGCAGAATAAATGCACAGACAGTAGAGGACTGTGAAAACTCAGATAGCCTATGATCAAATGCCAAAGCAGCTAGGCAGACTAGGGAAGACCCACATGGCTTAAGTGCTCTGGAAGGCACTTTGCCCACCAATTATGAACTAGCACTGAATGTCCACCACAAAGGACGGGCACACACAATGATCCTCACCTCAAATGACAACAAAGAAGGCTTATTAGGATCTATGATATTTCAAGGTTGATCAACTAGAGAAATTCAGAGACCAATAAATAGGTCAAGAATTTAACTTCAGACTTGTTCAGCCTGGACTCTGCCTTCCAGCCCCAAATTAAGTGACATCAATGTGTTTGACCCATGCTTCCCAAGCCCAAAAGACTAAGACAGTCATTACTAAATACCAAAACTGAGGTGACAGCACTCTTGGAAGAGTGAAATGCCAAAGCATGCCTCGCCCCAAGCTGGTTGCCACAGAATAGATTTTGTTTCCTCCAGTTCTACATCATTCCTTTGTTGACATAAGATTTGCTAATCATATTGTCAGTCCTAACCTCAGAAGCCCTTTCCATCTATCTCATCTCGTAACCCATCTAGCAAGTCCAGGAAAATGCAGCTGGTCTTCCAAGTGCGAGGTAACACCTCTGCAGAGACCTGGAATAATGAGAATAGGGAAATAGCCCTTCAGCTTCTAATGACACTAGGGACAAAGATCCAAATGTCCACCCTCTCTTGCCCCCCCAACACCTCCTAGTCACTACCACCACATAAACCCACAAACCAACCAAATCTGGAGAAGCTGAGAATCTTCAGAGGAAACTGCCAAACACTGTAGGTACTGGCTGCAATCAGACCATTTTCCAAGCATTATCCCCCACTCTGAAATTTGTTAGAAATTTTTACCAGTTATTTACCCATTCTTAGTAGACAACGGTATTATTAGGATTCTTTTTCTTAAAATGTCTGGGGATTTTGTACATTGTAATAAACAATAAACACAGGATCCAACCTCCTCCCTCATCTCTCTCATCCACTTAAAGCTATTCTCTTGCTTAGGAATTCGGTTGCTACAGAAATGAATTTGCATCATTAAAACAAGTATGAAAACTTCAGTAAATAAAATTATATCATTCATGACATGCATACCAAGTATGCAGTCAGACTAAGTATAGAAGATTTTAACCAAGACTCCAAAGAGAACTACAAGCCATTATCCAAAACAGAAAGGCAAAATCATAAAATTTTGCATCCAAAGAATCATGGTCTAAGCACTTCTCTGTGTATCCTAGAAGGATAACTGGGGCCACCACCCTAGTTTCTGATATATAAAAAAGCAGATGAGTTCTCTACTCAACAAGTCCTTTTATGCAAATAACCAACCTAGTCAGTCCCAATCATGTAAAGGAACCACTAATCCTTGTAGGAGTCCTGAGTTCTCTACTTCCCTCTGGAACTCCTTAAAATACTCAATCAGTTATAAGAATTCTGGAAATTTCCAATAGTTTTGTCTTTCCTTCCTGAGACAGGTCTCAACCTCACAATCCTCCAATTTCAGCCTGCCAAGTGCTGGGACTACAGACGTGCACCACCATGCCTGGCATCCAACAATTTCTAAACAACAGTTTCTCGATACATCCCAGAGTATCTTCAATAGCTTCAAGCATCTTTCCCTTCTTTCTCATCAACAGGGTGGGGTCCTTACCGGGATCTCCCACCAAAGCAGTTTGTGCTGGGGAGTGGGTGCCGGTTCTCTGGAGCCACAACTGTCCCAATGGATTCTCTTGAAGATGGCTGCGATCCTGGAAAGGGAATCAATCACAAGAAAAGACAGAAACATTGAGACACTCAACCTCATTCGAGAGTTGGCTACCAAGCACAGATTCCTCTCTGTGTTGAGTTACCAACCACGATAAAATATGAACATTTTGCCAGCTGCAGCCATGGGTACAGGAAGGATTAGGGGAAATCATGTGAGACCTGATCCACCCCATGGAACAGGGGGCTCAAACCCAAGAAACAGCCTCTCTTCTTCAAGACATTCAGGAATATCTAAGGCACTAACAAGCAAACTGCAGTATTCATTAAATGAACTTCAGCATGACAGATGTGAGATTCAGAACAGACACTAGCCACATAAAGTGGGAGCAAGGAGTGGGGCATTTCTCCACAGCGTAGACAGAAAGGCTTTAAAAGACAAATCAGATCATGACACTCACCGACTAAAAGCCCTTCAACAGCTATCTGCTTCCCAGGATGAGGTTGAGGTTTGTCACCCTTACCACGGTCTCTGAGACTGCGTGATCTGAGTGCACCCGCCTCACCAGGCTCACCTCTACCACCCTTCTTCTTGCTCCCCAGGATCCAGTCTCCCTGGTCCCTCTGTTTCCACTGCAGACCCAACCACCCCTTTTCCCTACACCCCCAGCTTGGCCTATCTAAACTTCTCATAGTCTAGGTCTTAAATCCCTCAAAGGAACCCTCATGATAGCCCCCCTCACCCCGTTTAGATGAGATCGCTCAGAGTACAGAAATCTCAAACCACCCTGTACTTTTCTTTTGTGGCTTCTGTTACAAGGATAGTAACATAATTATTTAGCGTTACTCATCAGATGTGAATTTTCCCACTGCCAACTAGATAGCAGCTGGACAGGACCACATACATGCCAGGTGTTCTGAATGAGTGAATGATGGATTTTTTTTTCCTCTTCATGCCAAAGTACCTCAAGTACCACTCAATCCAGCAGAAGATTCTTTTTTTTTTTTTTTCATTTTTCTTTTATTATTCATATGTGCATACAAGGCTTGGTTCATTTCTCCCCCCTGCCCCCACCCCCTCCCTTACCACCCACTCCACCCCCTCCCGCTCCCCCCCCTCAATACCCAGCAGAAACTATTTTGCCCTTATCTCTAATTTTGTTGTAGAGAGAGTATAAGCAATAATAGGAAGGAACAAGGAGTTTTGCTGGTTGAGATAAGGATAGCTATACAGGGCATTGACTCACATTGATTTCCTGTGCGTGGGTGTTACCTTCTAGGTTAATTCTTTTTAATCTAACCTTTTCTCTAGTTCCTGGTCCCCTTCTCCTGTTGGCCTCAGTTGCTTTAAAGCATCTGCTTTAGTTTCTCTGCATTGAGGGCAACAAATGCTATCTAGTTTTTTGGGTGTTTTACCTATCCTCATATCTCCCTTGTGTGCTCTTGCTTTATCATGTGATCAAAGTCCAATCCCCTTGTTGTGTTTGCTCTTGATCTAATGTCCACATATGAGGGAGAACATACGATTTTTGGTCTTTTGGGCCAGGCTAACCTCACTCAGAATGATGTTCTCCAATTCCATCCATTTACCAGCGAATGATAACATTTCGTTCTCCAGCAGAAGATTCTTGTCTGCAGCCAAGATCCATCCAACCACTGAGATTCCACCCAACTACCTCTGAATTAGAATTCAAAATCCATCACCTTGAAGCTCAGAAAGCCTATTTGGGGCCTGAAAAGTACCATAGTTACATTACATGTAACAAAACATTTAATAAGAAAATTTATGGAGAAACTCAACCCATTTCAGACCTCAGACTTCATAAAGTAATTTCCTGCTAAATCCAAAGGAACTAATTTCAGACTAGATCAAAAGAAACTAACTACCCACCCTCAGGAGAGAGGGGAGAACATAGCTCCTTGTTTCGGCCCGTCTTTTCTTTCTTCTCTCTTTTCTTTTGTTCTTTTTTTTTTTTTTACTTTCTTCTCTCCTTCCCTTCCTCCCTCCTTTCTTCCTTTTTGTGGGGCAACTGGCTTCTAACTTATCACTAAGTACTCCAGCTGTCGGCGTCTTTTGCTACTTTGCATTTCTAGAAGTACAGTGCCCTCCTCAACCCACACCATTTCATAGGAAACACATCACCTCCTCAGGAAGTCTAACTGTGCTGTGGAGAAAAAAAGGAGGCCAAAGTCACACTTGCTAAAGATGTTTCATTTTCCAAAGTCCATGTGGGATGAAAAGATGTTTTTCTCTGCTCTCAATCCAAACAATAACACACAAAGATGTGACTTTTATTTTGGTCCTGGATCAGAAAGCAGTCCTTTGAAAACTCATGTTTGCAATTTTGATCTGGGAGGCTAAGAAGAGTGAGGGCAGGCTGTGGACCAGAACAGCTAAGCGGCACCCAAACCAAGCGCTCAGCACCTCCCGCCCTCTGCTTGGCCCACCCTGTCCCGGCACAGCCCTAGAAGCAAGGTGGCACTCACCGTCTGTCACTGCACTGCCATTAGGCACACTTCCCAAATCAACAGTCGGCCCATCCAGGAAAATTGTCAGCTCTCCGCCTGAAACAACACTGCCTTTGTTCTCCGTCTGTAGGTTCAGGGTCAGTTGCGTGTTCTCCACTGTTGGGCACAAGTGCAACATGAACAGATTGAGTCAAATACACCCCAAGTTACAATTCTGTATGTTAGAAGCTCCCGTTACACCTACTCTGGCTTCTTTGGCAGTGCTTTCCTGAATCTTTAAATCTGTCTTGTGGCATGGAAAAAAGAGTGAGAAGGAATCTGTCTAATGCACATCACCCTCCTACTTGGCTGGTAGGAAAGCTGTACCTTTTTCCAAAACATTTTATATCACTAAGTTAGTTTCAAATTACAGATTTGTTTGCTTCTATTTGCAGGACCATGAGACAAGAATAGGTATACTGATGGCATGGAGAAGACGACATTGGTTGTAAACAGGTCCCCCACACACACTATTCATAGGGAGAACAAAAAGGAGAGAAATAGGCAGGGACATCATAAGAAAGCATTAAGAGGAGACCTCCTAGAAAAGGGATTGCAGAGGCTTATTCTCTTCTTATTTGTGTAAGAGGTGTTTTTCTGTTTCAACTTTTTTTGTGTGCTGGGGATCAAACCAAGGACCTCATGCATGCTAAGCAGATGCTCTGATACCGGGCTATCCCCCAGTATGTACGCCCCAGCCCCAAAAGGTGCTTTTAAAATTTTTAATCCTGCTGGGCATGGTGGCATGTACCTGTCATAATAGTTACTTAGAAAGTTGAGATAGGAGGATCACAAGTTCAAGGCCAGCCTGGCTAATATAATGAGACCCCATCTCAAAAAATAAATAAAAATTTTAATCCTACAAATGTACAACTTTGAAATGTAGAGGAGGCTGGGCACTGATGGCTCATGCCTGTGATTCTAGCTACTTGGGAAGCTAGACAGGGAGGATTACAGTTCAAGTTCAGCCTGGGCAAATAATTTCCGAAACCCCATCTCTAAAATAACCAGAGCAAAATGGACTGGAGATGTAGCTCAAGCAGAAGAGCACCTACCTTGCAAGCATGAAGCCCTGAGTTCAAACCCCAGCCCCACCAAATTAAAAAAAATAAAAGGAAGAAATATAGTAAAAAAAAAAAAATTAAAACAATAAAAGCTTAATATAGGCAAGTCAGCCCCATCAATCCCATCAGGAGACTAACCAACATCAGGCCATGTGACTGAAGTAATAAGAAGCAGCTGAGACTCACTCAGCCCCCTAGGCCACTGGGCAGCTTCAGGCCTATGGCAAAATAAGAAGTGGAATAACCACAGCAGAAAAACAGAACAAGCTGGCCAGGCATGGCGGCTCACACCTGTAATCCCAGCTGCTTGGGAGGGGGAGATCAGAAAGATCATGGTTCCAAGCCAGCCCATCTCAACAAATAAGTTGGTAATGGTGGTGCATTTCTGTTATGCTTCTAGGCAGGAGGCATAGGTAAAAGGACCATGGTCTGAAGACAGCCAGGGTAAAAACTCAAGCTTCTACCTCAAAAATAACTAAAGCACAAAAGGGCTGGGGGCATAGCGGGAGTGTTAGAGTGCCTCCCTAGCAAGTGCAAGGCCCTGAGTTCAACCCCTATACCCCACAAAAAAAAAAAAAAAAAGAAAGAACAAACTGACATGTGGCAGAAGCACTAAATCCTAGGCAGGTCATAAACTGCTGTGCACACACCCTCAGCCCTGCCACTGAGCTTGGTCATACTGCATAGCTTGTATCCAAGTAAATATTCAGCCAGGTCAGGAGCTGTAGCCTCTAGTTCAGGCATGTTAATAATCACCAAGAGAGAACCAGCATGCAGCAAACATCACAAAGTAAGTAGTTCCTCCACACTGCCCAACATTTCACAAAGCCAGCAGAAGGAGTGCCCCATATTGGATCCTCCCTCCTTACCTACCCCACACCGAATCCAGCCTTCATTTCATTTCTTAGTTGCCATTATATCATTATAAGCTAGCTGTCCTGTTTTTTGGAACAAGGCAGAGTATGTATTTCATAAGGACTACAGTAAATGTGAGCACTTTCTAGCAATAAGATACCCACAAAAAGAAAAGAAAAAAATGTAAAGCCAGCTTCAATTTTAAGAAACATACATGGCAAAAAAGTCTGGGTCTCTTGCAGTAAGGAAGAAGGCAGGAGCTCTCAGGCTCTCCTAAGCATCTCTCCCCACTCCCATCCCCGCCCCCCAATTACTCTTCCCTGCACTGGATCTCTCCAGTTCCTTTTTGTATCTGCTGTTATTCTGGGGGCAGTTTCACTGAGGGGCTTGGTGACTTCTACATGTTTCTATAAAATATCACTGGTAATTTGGAAACTAGTTCCTTCAAGAGCCAAGGTGTGTGGGAGGAACTGAACTTTCACCTACCAGCATCTCTTTGTGAACGTGAGTTTGCCACCTTGGAAGCAGATCCTCAGCCCCAACAGAGCCAGAAATGACAGCAGCACAGGCAACACAGCGACTGCAGTCTCGTAAGATTTCAGGCTAAGCTGCTCCCAAATCCTGACCCACTGAAACTATGAGATAATACACATTCGATTTTATTTTATTTTTTTAAGTCAGGAACTATCCTTGCTCCTGTATCTAGGAGATCCAATGCCTAAGTCTCTAGCAATGCAGCATGGGAACTAATCAGACAGGTACAGTCAGGCACTGGATTCAAATCTCAATGCTGCTGCCTACGAGCTATGAGGCAATTAGCAAATTATCTGCCTGCAATAGGAATAATCATAGCACCTTTTACAGAGAACATGTGAGGATTCAGTGGTACTTAGCAGCAACAAATAAGCTACCATTTCCATTATCTACCTGTTGACTCCTGTTTGTAAGCTGAAGAATCCTGACTTTCCTTGGTCTAACTTAGCACTCATTTTATAGTCATCCATGATTCTTTCAGAGACTGATTTTAGATTGTGATAATACACTCCACAAAACATTCCCAGGTAAGTCACATAACTATCACAAGGGAAAACTGCCTAAGCTTGTGCCTAGAACAACTTCCAAAGACACCCAGCCTTCAGAATCCAGTGTGCCACTGTTGGCACTGTGCTGGCATAAGCATGCTAGAAGGGTGCTTAATCCCCTCCTTGATATCTCAAAGCCCATCGATTTATGAGTGGAGGGTGAGCATGTCTCCCTCTAATTCCAGGAGGGGTTATAATGTCCAACAGGAAGATAAAGAGCCCCAAGGCCTCTGGCTGCTAACTTTGCCCTCCATGACAGTCACACTGCCAAGGTCTTCTGACAGAAGCTACAGGCACCACCTGAATTTGTCTCTCCACGGTCTCACCGCAAGGTTCCAAGCTAACTGTTCTATGTAAGGTTATCCACTAATGTCTCTAGAAGTCATTATATCCTTACAGGCTCAGAAGTTGCCTTATAACCCTTTGTGGCACATTTTAACTTCAAAAAGAGAGGGAGAGGAGTCTTTTCTCTTTAAACTGAACTTTTGAGAACATGACCCTCCACTGCTCTGTTTACTAAAAAGAGAGCCAAAGAGATTTCTCGTCATTATCATCACCAAGTGATCATGTCACTAAGAATAAGCCACACTGATACCACACACTTCCTGATGGGATGCAAAAAGAAGTACACAATGTCACTTTCAAAGTCCTTTTGCTGAACGCATTTAACCTGAATCTATTCAAGCCTCTAAATCTACTTCCCAGTTCCAGTGAAATAGGGAACACAGAAACAGCTAAGTGATAACCATTAGTCAATCACACAAATCCAGAACATGGAACATCTATAGGATAATTCTCTGAGACTTTTCAAAAAGTAAATGGCATTAAATAATATTTTTATTTTTTTTAAAAGGGGGAAACAAAGGGACATTTCCTAAATTTAAAACATAACCATCAAATCTCATGCATGAATTTTTACTAAACCTTGGTTTAAAAGAAAATATTCTTGGGATAATTGGAGAAACTTGCATATGGATTAGAATATTAGATGACATTTGAAATTACTGTCAATGTTCTTAGATTTGATAACAGTATTATGACTTTATATAAGAACATTCTTATTCTTAGGAGATGCGAGATAGATTCTGAGAATATCTGCACTTATTCTCTAGAAATTTTATAGGAGAACAGGCTGAAGATTTTATGAATAAAGGGTCATGAGATCTTCAATTTACCTTCTAGTGGTTCAGCAAAGAAATGCACACAGCCACACATTCACTTATACAGAGAGGATAGAGCAGATGCTGCAAAATGTTCATTGTGGGATCTAGAAGGGCCTTTGGGTATTCTTTGTATCACTCTTTCAATTCTCCTGTATGTGTGCAAATTTCCTAATAAACAATTGGAAAAAGGATTTCTGAAATTTGCAAGACTATTAAAAAAAAATCTCTGAGAACAGAACACCCTATTATTCTCTTAAAAAATAAAAAAAAAAAAATCTGAACCAGGGGAGCTCTACAGTGCATAATGGGACTAAAGAAACCATTAGCTAATTGAGTGACAGACTCAGCACACAGACAGGCTGAAAGGCCTAAGTGTGGCTGGAAAACATATACTGGAATCTTGGCTATAAATAGCATTCTCAGCCACCTCACCTCTGGGCTCTCTGGTTTCACTACAGCCACGCTGATGACTCACAAAGGCCCTTTCTCTTCCAGCATGTCTTCCTACTGCCTTTGGAGGCACTGTTCAAAAATCAAGAAACTCATGGGGGTTGAGGGTATACCTCAGTGGTAAAGCATGTGCCTGCCATGCATGAGGTTCTGGAAAGAAAAAAGAGAGAGAGAAAGGGGGAGAAGGGAGCACAGGGGAGGGACAGGATGAGGACTGGGATGGGGAAGGGGACTGTAAAGGGGAAGGGGAGGAAAGGGAACAGAAGAAAAAAAGGAAAAAGGAGAGAAGGGAAGGAAACATGGGTACAGTAGGGCGATTTCTGGAACTGGAATCATATTTAGCATAGGAAGCTCATCACAGCTCTCAAACTTGATAGGCCCTGGTCTATCTGGATTCTTGTAGTTCACATATTGCACTGAGCACCTACTATGCTGTAGTCACTATGATTCCACAGAAATACAACAGAAAAAAATTTGTGTTCAAGGGGTATTTATATTCTAAT